AGCTGGGCATGGTGGCACGTGCCTGTAATCCCAGCTACTCAGGAGACTGAGGCAGGAGAATTGCCTGAACCCAGGAGGCGGAGGTTGCGGTGAGCCGAGATCGCGCCATTGCACTCCAGCCTGGGTAACATGAGTGAAACTCCGTCTAAAAAAAAAAAAAAAAAAAAAAGTAGTTCCATGATTCCGGTAGAGTATAAGGTTCACAAAGTGAGGAATTTTTGTCTGTTTTGTTCTCTGCTTTCTATTTAATGTGTAGAATAGTGCCTGGTACATGCTAGGCACTCAATCAGTATTTTAAAAATAATTGCATAAATTCTTGCCTTTAATAGAAAAAGTAAAGTTTTTCATGTCAGTGAATTAATTTTTATGTTATTCAGAAAGCAGAGTCTGTCGCTGGGAAGAGATGATATAGTTCAGCTAAAAGAAGCCTACAAATGGATAACTCACCCCCTGTTTTCAGAGGAATTGGGTGTTCCCATTGATGGAAAGGTATTGGGTCAACAGCATTGCTAATTTTATTCTCTGATTTTACTAGTTTTACTTCATTATATGGTAGGGTTTTCGTTAGCCAAAAGGACCTTCTTTTTAAATAATCCAGTGAAGGATTTTTAAGCTTTTAAAATGTTAAATTCTAATAGTCTTAAATTGAAGTCAAAGCATATCTTTTTTTTTCCCCAAGACTTCTTTGTGACCTAAGACACAAAGGTGTCCTAATTGACCTTAAAAGGTTAGAAATGAGTATTTGCCTTTAATGTATTTATAGTTCAATTGGAGGAATAGACTTGTTACAAAGCAGTATATAAATAACTGCAAGAAAATATAGAGTCAACTCTGGAGTATTTAATTTTGGTTTATCTGTGGCTAATCTTATTTTCAAATGCATGGGTAGAACCTATTCAACTACAGTGAGTATGAGCTCAATCCTACCTTGTTGGTATCTCAAATCCCCCTGTTTACTTTTAGGCAGTAGCTGCCTTTGAAACCAGAACATTCCTCTTTTCCAGAGCAGACCTTACTTCAGTCTCTGAAGTGGGTTGAATTTCAGGGAAGACTCAACAGGCTTTCAGATGTGAAAACAGGAAGGTCATTCTTAAATTAGATTTTAATATTATGGCCTCATTGCTTCATTATTTTGCTCGAAGGAAATTCCCTGGATATCAGATACACCCCTATTCAAATAAAATCACAAAACTATCTTCTAAAGCTAAATAATTTTTTCAAAACCATTCTGAATTATGCAATAATATATCCTTTTGTAAGAATATGCTCTGTTCTATAAATTGAATATTGAGAGAATAGAGAATAAAGCTACTTCACAGTATGAAGAGGAAATGAGGTAATGAAAGTACTTTGGAAATTAGGGAAGTCATTAATGCAAAATATTTTTACCTCAAATTTCAGTTTTGAAGCACAAATAATTTTACATGTTATATCAGTGAGAACAGAAAATAGAAAACAAAAGATGCAATAATCTAGTAGATTCTGGTTGAGTTAATTTTCCTGAATAAAAGGAATGCGTTGTTCATTTTAATTATTGTATAGATTAGAATAATGAGCCAAAAACAAGTTATTCATTATTGTGATTCTATAGTAGCTAAGTGATCTACTGACTATCCAATGAACTCAGTAAATATAAAGACAAAATTGTAACATAGTATAACATTTTTAGCTTCCCCCCTCCACCCATATGGAATTTTGTATATTCTCCATGGAGGTAAAAGTATAAAATCATGCTTCTTTTGGTGTACAAGGATATTCATTGTAGCATTTTTTGTTACAAAAAATGTTCTACAGCTGAAATGTCTTACAGTCCTGAGAATTGAAAAGATTTCCATGATATTAAACAAAGCAATTTTCTAAAAGCATGTCTTAAAAAATAACACATATACATTTATATTCACAAAAATGCCTGGAAAGAAACACCAAATTGTTAATGATTTTACTTCAGTGGAATGGGATTGGAAAACCATTTCGGTATTTGATGATTTTATAATTTATGTGTATCATTTTTGTAACAAAACAAAAAAATTAAGATCTGCTTTTAAAACTCAAATCCTTTAAGATGTTTGAGCACTTTAAAAAGAAGCTTCATACAGTTTTTAGGAATGGGAATAGTATGTTTTTTGCCTTGCTAATAATTCAAATCTTAGTATTGGCAGAATAATTCTTCATTTCTTTCCTTTATTATTTATTTTCAATTCTGTAAATTGTCATTCACCTTTAGACCTAATTTACACATTTATCCAAAAAGTATACAAATTTATTTTAAAACTTTTTTGGTAGGATCACTAACGACTGAGTTTTAGAAGTTAAAAACAAAAAACAAAAAACGATTTCCTTTACAGCTGCCCTATGAACAAGTTGATTTGAGAGCAGTAGTATTTCCAGGTTTTCTGGTCATTCTTTTCTGAACCAATCTTTGAGAGTTAATTTCTATTTCCATTCATAAGTTGTTAGATGTTAGTTTCCTTTTGCTCATTTTTAAACTGTCTTTATAATTTTTAGAGCTTGTTTGAAGTGAGTGTGGTCTTTGCTCACCCAGAAACAGTTGAGGATTGCCACTTCCTGTAAGTTGCCATGTAAACAACAATGTCAATCGTGTAAAATTGTTAATGCTGTTTGGCTTTCATGAAAATAGTATTGCTTCTCTTCCTAATAAGCATTTTAGAACTTGTTATATCTTAGTAGGTTTAAAATGTGCCCTCAAAAAAAATAAAGTAAAATGTGCCCTCAAACATAGGTTCCTGGGCAAACCAATGTAGTTCATACAGGGACTCATTTTGTCTGCTCCTGATGACCTGAGTTTAGCAGCCATTTTGTATAAAATATATTTGAATTATATCCACCCCAAAATAAACTCAATAACCTTTTATATGAACTTGAATTTTATTTTAGAGCTGCGAAATGCCCAGATTGTTTTAAGCCAGCCAAAAACAAACAGGTAAGGAAGGGTTCCCATTTCTTACTCTTGAGTGAGTTTTGTCTGAGCTGAATATTCAAATTTCCAACAAAAAGGATATTTATTAGAAACATAGCAACTCTGTTATACTAAGAATCAGTCTAAATATTTCCATTTGCTACATTAATTTTTTTTCAACTTTTTCAACATTCACCTCTGGCTAGCACACAAACATCCTCATGTTTGTGTCAGTGTCTAGATTGTTCCCTGACAAGGTTAAATTTAGAACAAGTGTTTCAGTGATGTTATTATTACTCATTAAATTCGATGTTTAGATTTTAATCCCCCAAATTACATCATCTGGGAAAATCCATGTTAAGTATCAGCAGCATTACAAACTTTCAGCTAACATCCATTTTGTAGAAACTGATGTTTAGAATATATAATCCAAAGTAAGTTATTTTGTTTAGGACAGTCCTGAATTAACATGGCCTCTTTCGGGCTACATTTGCAAAAAGGGCATTTTATTAAAACTCTTCTTTATCATCTTAATGTTAGCTGATCTTCATGTTAATGATCAAATTGGTTAACATATACTTTTAGCTCGTATCATGTCAGGATAGAATGATATGGTGCAATATTGGTAATCTTTCATGCCCCAGTTTCATAGGTGGTTTCATACACAGACTCAGGCATTCCTAAAGTTTCACTGACATTCATTTTGTTGTTGTGATTGTTAAAAAGAACATAAGTTCATTGTCACATATACATCTGCTGGTTTTGCCTCTTGCTTTGACTAATTGCTGGGTCTTTTAGAACTGGGGGAAAAAGATTGTAACATTTGCCGAATGCCCTGTGCAGAAATAATTAGAAATGCAGACTGAGCCTAAAGCAGGAGCTCCCTACTTTTCTCATGTCATGGTACATCTAGAACATTACCATGTTTGTTCAGCACCCTGAGGTTAACAGATGGAGTTGCTTCAGATTGGCAGCACCAGGCCTGGGGTTTCCACTGTATGAGGCCCTGTTCAACAGCCCTTGTGAACTAAAGAAATCAACATCTTGGCACAACCATAGTCCACTGCTTTGCCATGCCTGTTGGGAAGCTCTGTCCAGATAACCTGTAAGATGTATCTATATTGAAGATCTAGTTTTATTTTATTTACCCTTGAGGAAATATAATAATAGGCATCAAGTAATAGGATAAGGAGATTTTTATTAAAGCATCATAGACACCACACCATTTGGCCAGTGGGAGTTGTAGAGTCTCAAGTATAATTTTCTTGCCTCGTGGCTGGGAGCAAATTGAATGACCTTTTGAGATTTTTTTACAGGTCTAAGATTTCATATCTTATCAATTAGGCACGAAATTTTCAGCTGTAACCCTATGGTATCTTATAGAATGCCATAGTGTTCCCTAGAATATGGTTTTGAAAAAAATCATTCCTTTGACTGGTGATAAACTGTTGAGCTGCCTACATTGTAATCCTTTTCAGTCAAATGCAGTTTCTCATAACGGAAGAAATAATTGTGATTTATCATAGTAAGCCATGTATATATGTGCTAATTAGTTCTAGTATGTCTACTGTACAGTTTGGCTTTTCTTATCTTAAAAAACCCAAGTGGAACATTTGTTGTAGACACCCTTCTGTTCAGTACAGTGGATTTGCTTACTTTGTGGCTGGTGATTGCTAGTGAGTTGCTAGATGCCGGGGCAGGCAGGTTGGCTCTGCTTTACCGCTTACTCTGGCAGCCAACTCCTAAATTACATACCGTAGCCTCTGAAGGGACGTAGGAAAGAAAAGGTAGCTGAATCAATCTAAATTCCTCTTGAGGTCAAGGGGGAAAAGAAATTAAATCACATTTCCTACAGTGTCATCATTTTTTGTATTTGAATTATACCATAATTTGAGGGAAGTGGGACAGTGTAGTGAAGGAGACCTGCTCTGCTAGATCTACCTGTTATTATAGACATAGACCAGATTGAAGAGAAGGCTGCAGAGGTATGCCAGTTGCAGAGCTGACATGAATGCTTAAGTTTTATTTGTTTTCTTGAAATGCTTAAGCATTTCTCCCTGTTATATGAAATGATATAATTTCTCCAACCATGCTCTGTGTTTTACCTCTGACATTTTCTTGTCTGGATAGTAAAATGTCTTTTCTTCTCATTTTACCCTATATAGTCTGTATTCACTAGAATGGCAGTTATGAAAGCATTGAATAAGATAAAAGAAGAGGATTTCCTTAAGTAAGTAGAAGTATAGAAACAATGAAGCATGATGAAATTTTAGAATAAAGGGAATGTTAGAAATAAGCTGGATTACCCTGAAACAAGATGGCGTATTCAGGGGCCAGGACTGTGTCTTAGTCACTGTTTTCTCTCCAGCCCCTGGTGCAGTACCTGGCATGTAGTGGTGTTCAGTAAATGTTTGTCAAATTCAGGCTTGAATTTATGAATCAACTCTAACTTTTTAAAATTTATTTATTTATGTTTTTGAGATGGAATTTTACTTTTGTTGCTCAGGCTGGAGTGCAGTGGAGCAATCTCGGCTCACTGCAACCTCCACCTCCTGGGTTCTAGTGATTCTCCTGCTTCAGCCTCCCAAGTAGCTGCCATTATAGGTGTGTGCTACCACTCACTGGCTAATTTTTTGTATTTTTAGTAGAGACGGGGTTTTGCCATGTTGACCAGGCTGGTCTTGAACTCCTGACCTCAGGTGATCCACCTGCTTCAGCCTCCCAAAGTGCTGGGATTACAGGTGTGAGCCATCACCCCCAGCCGAATCAAGTCTAACTTCTTTATTTTGAAGAGGGTATTGGTATCCAAAGAGGGAGTTGACTCGCCTAAGCTAGTAAGAGAGTGGATCTGGAGCCAGATTTCTTGACATTCTAGCCCAACCTTAGTCCTGTATTTCCTAGTATCGTTCATCTCCAGAAGGGGCAGAGGAAGGCTCATGAGTTTCCTCACTTGTTAAAATATGCTAAAATAAAATAAATGCAATAAACCCTACATTTTAATTCTCAGTACATTCATTTTATTAAATAAAATATTACTGTAGTTTTCTTTCCAGAAGATCCTTCAATACATTTTAAACAATGATGTGATAAGGAGGGTAGAGTCAGCAGTAAACTGCAGGTGACCATGGACAGCAAAATGGTTAAATGAGCCTGAAGGGGCTTCCTCTTCTTATGTATGGATTTTTCCCTCAAATCTTGAGGCTGTTGGAAAGCATTAGGTTGGTGCAAAAGTACTTGCGGTTTTTGCCTAGGAGGATAATGCCTCCTGAGGGTGAAAGGTAGCAGCAGAGCCCTTATGTACTTACTGCCACTCTCATATGTTAAAAGTGGTATTCCACAGGCCTGCAAGACCTATATTGTTCCGAAACTAAAAGTTAGCGGGAGACTTGGGCTCTGTGCGTGTCTCAGACAATGCTGATTCATCTAAGTTTTGTGATTCAATATTATGTCTGGAAAATAGCTATAATATTTATTTTGTTTTTCAGGCAGTTTCCTTGTCCTCCAAACTCACCAAAGGCTACATGCACTGTTCTTGAAATTGAATGTGCTCATGGTGCTGTTTTTGTGGCTGGTAAAATATTTAGTCTAGAATATACATACACTGTGAACGTACTCTCTTTTCTGATAACTCAACTGACTCCTGTTCTAGTTTATTCTTGTTGTTATTAGATTCTAGTAAGTTTACTCTCTTGAGAAGTAGCATTGATAGCCAAGCTTATTTGAGGTTTTGTGGGCATTCTAAAGAATCACTCAGGAGATCAGTAATTTTAAATGCCATGCCAAAGAAAAATGGCACTTCCCAGGTTTTAATAGTTTTCATCAGAGATAGCCAAACAGAAATATGGGTGGATGCGGAGACCCAAAACTGGTTTGCAGAAAAATAGCAGGACAGAGGTTATTTTATAACATAAAAGCAAACTTGAAAAAACAATTTATTATCTCCAAAATAACTAAACACTTGGCTTCCACTAGAAAGAAATTGTTCATTGACTTTCCCAAAAGGTAATCTGGCAGACAAAGTTTTGTCTGAAAGTTACAACTGTTTTATAGCAATAGCTGAAGTGAAATTGCTCTTCAGCCTTGACTATAACATCCTATCTTAGGGCAATGAAAGCTACCTGCCTTGCTATAGCTTTATTCATCAGGCATAAAAGCAAGTTTGCTTGTGTGTGTGTGTTTTTTTAATCCTTGGTGCATTCATAAGATTATATAACTTGTTCAGTCAGCCAATGAAATTAAATATATTGAGTATTCCTTTCAAATTCATTTGATGCACCATTCATGTCATATATTTACCCATCTGTTCTATTGTTACTTTAAACCTTGCTGTTTAATTATCTACATGTCTATGTGCCAGGTCTCTAAATTGGATTTTAGTTAGGTAAAGGATAGGCCTTGTTTTATATCTTAGCCCTTAGGATATGGGCTCTTATTTATTTACTCCTTAAATAGTTGTTGCTTCCCTTTTTATCGCATTATGTTAATCACTCCATTCCATCCAGGCTATATGATTCTTTATTTCTCAGGGAGATATAATAAATACTCCAGGAATCTACCACAAACTCCTTGGATAATTGATGGAGAAAGGAAGCTGGAATCTTCAGTGGAAGAATTAATTTCAGATCATCTATTGACAGTATTCAAAGCAGAGAGTAAGTGTTACAATCTTCATACTTTATTTCTTTTTTTTGAGATAGGGGCTTGCTGCATCAATCAGGCTAGAGTGCAGTAGCACGATCACAGCTCACTGCAGCTTTGACCTCCTGGGCTCAAACGAATTTGCCTGCCTTGGCTTCCCAAAGTCCTGGGATTATAGGCATGAGCCACCCCACCTGATCTAATCTTCATATTTTATTGTGTTTTTTTTTTTTTTGAGAGAGAGAGGGTCTCACCCTGTCACCCAGACTGGAGTGCACCCTCAACCTCCCAGGCTCAAGCAGTCCTCTCATTTCAGTCTCCTGAGTAGCTGGGACCACAGGTATGCACCACCATGCTCGGTTATGTTTCAATATATTTTTAGAGTTGGGAGGGGTCTCACTACATTGCCCAGGCCGGTCTCGAACTCCTGGGCTCAAGTGATCCTCCTGCCTGGGCTTCCCAAAGTGTTTGGATAACAGGCATGAGTCACTGCACCTGGCCATATATTTAATACACTGACATTCATGAATAGATATCTTGGGGATGGCAGGAAAGATTTCTGTATTTTGTTCATCACTACCAAATCTGGGCCTCTTGGCCATAGGCTTCCTGTGAACAGGGATCATCATGTCCTGGGTGCTGTTGGTCTGGGCTGGATTTCAGCCAAGGCATTTGAGAATATCTGCCTGTCCTCTCTCAAGATGACTGCTCTGCCAGGCGCAGTGGCACGTGCCTGCAATCCCAGCACTTTGGGAGGCCGAGGCGGGTGGATCACTTGCAGCCAGGAATTCAAGACCAGCCCGGGCAACATGGTGAGACCATATATATCTACTAAAAATATGAAAATTAGCCAGGGCATGGTGGCGTGCACCTATAGTCTCAGAGACTACTCGGGAGGCTGAGGCACGAATCGCTTGAACCCAGGAGGCAGAGGTTGCAGTGAGCCGAGATCGTACCACTGCACTCCGGCCTGGGTGAAAGAGTGAGACTCTGCCTAAAAAAATAATGAATTAATAAATAAAATGACTTTTCTCTCCTGGGGAAACACAAAACAACTGAAACTACTTTAAACGAATGCACCTAAGCCCTGACCCTGGTATACCTCAGCCTTGGCCTCTCTGGGGGAATATGAGGAAATTAAAACACATCTTCAACATCCAGTGCTTCTTCAAGAGTAATCACTGCAAATGTTTGGCTTCTGTCTTAACCTATGAAATGTCCTGGAATAAAGTTCAGGCCTAGAGAAAGTAAATCAACAGGAACCATTTTACAAAGACTGAATAGTGGCTGTATTGTTTTTGAATTTAGGTATTAACGAGCCTAGGTTTGTGAGATGAGTCGGTCCCATCACGTTTATGTTTTCCTTGTCTCAACAGGCCTGTCAGGTCAAAGGCAGCATAAAGTCCTGTGATTTTAATCACAGGAAGTTGTGTTACACATCAGGAAAAACTGCAGGGCATGAATGATGTTACTCTTTGGAATGAGACTCCTAGCATAATTAGAAAACTTTTTTTTTTTTTTTTTTTTGAGACAAAGTCTTACTTTGTTGACCAGGCTATAAGGCAGTAGCGTGATCATGGCTCACTGAAGCCTTGATCTCCTGGGCTCAATCTTCCTGTCCTCAGCCTCCCAAGTAGCTGGAACTACAGGCATGTGCCACCATGCCTGGTTAATTTTTTTGTATTTTTTGTGGAGATAGAGTTTTGCCATGTTGCCAAGGCTAGTCTCAAACTCCTGAGCTCAAGCAATCCATCCACCTTGGCCTCCCAAAGTGCTGAGATTACAGGCGTGAGCCACCACGCTCAGCCAGAAAACCTTTTTTTTGACAAACCAGCTAGAAATTCATCCTTGTCTCTGAAAGACCTTAAGATAAGTGTGATATTGTGCTGGCCTAGAGCCAGAACCAGAGCAAAACTATTTTATAAAATGCAAAACTGTTTTTAGATAAGTTGAAATGGCTGCCCCATTCTCCTCACAATAAGTACTGTCCTTGGCCTCTGTAAATAGAACTGCCAGTTTGTTCTTCAAAACTATGTAAAGTTGCTTACCTTTTCTTATCAGTAACTGCCAGAATTGCTAGCCTTTGCTTACCGGCAATTGCCAGACTAAGCAGCCCAAGCTAGTTCCATCCTGGCTCCTGTGGCTTGTAATAAGTAACTAAGGTCTGTGATTTCCACCTTAACCAGATAATGTGTAAACAAATGTATATCTTGACTTCTGTAAACCACTTAAGTAACAAACGGAATGACAAAAGTCCCCTGGCCCTTGGAATGTCCGGAGACCCCCACCCTCATCTCTGCCCAGGAGGTAATTTACAGAATCCACTAGCCCTCGGAATGTCTGAAGCCTTTTCATCCCCATCCCCGCCCCTCACCCCCACTCCCAAGGTGGTTTTTCGGGTATAAAAAATCGTGGCACCCTCCTGTTGCCACCACAGGTTGGAGAGACGTGAGTCCTCTGTGGTCGCCGGCATAATAAATGACCCTGCAATCTGGCATACTTTTGTCTTGTGATAACTTTCTACACTCGGTAAAATACAACATAAGCATGCTTTGATAATGACAAACACATGGTCTAGATGAGATATGGCTGACCCTTCCAGCTCCCTCACTTGGAAGGAGGAAAGAGAAATACATCAAACTATATCCCTCTTATAATTTGTTGCCTATCACGTAGGTGGCCCTTTTTAAAGGGTCTTTAAGAATTGTTTACTGAACAGAAAAAAAAAGTATCCCAGCACCCTAATATTTTCCAAAATCTTAGCAGTAAACACCCTAGGTTATTGCCATGAGCTTTTGCCCAGTTAATTTGGTATTTACAAATGGATTATCACATAAGGCTTATGCAAGTTATGAAGGGCTGAAAATAAAGCTTTAGCACAAAAAGTTTCATTTGGATTCTTTCTGGGGCCACCTCTCACACCAAGTGTCAGGTTCTAGCCCAAGCTGGAGTGGGTGAATGAGTGGCAGGCAGCTGAAAGAACACTCAAGGAATCAGAGAGAGTTTTGGACATGGCTCTATTCTCTCTCTCTGGGCACAAGCCCAGGTGCAAGCTGTATATGTATAGCATCAGCAGGGTAGTTATACCTTTTACAGACAATAGTAGCTCTGAGCCAAGCACAAGTTCACATGAATGATCACCTAATGTGCCTCACGTGGTGTGGTTACATAATGTGTGGGGTTGCGCACCTGCTCACTAAACCCACTGAGTCATGCTGTGCTGGAAGGCCACCTCGGTCTACTCCTGACTAAAAGCGCAGCCATTTCTCTAGGCTGAGGGTGTCCTTGACTACCTTAATCTCCTGTGAGACCCCTTGCAGGGCTGCTGTTATGTTCTGCTGATTATCCAGGATAAAGGTACAACATTGTGTTATGTTTACACGGGCTGTGATGGGTACCCATTCCACACTGGTATTACCCCAGTGTTGCTCTATGCACCACAGTGCCTGGGCTGGGGGTACTACATGTTCCCCCACTAGCCAGCTCCACCCATCATAAATGCTACGGGCCAGCCAGGAGGTGAGTGTGCTGTGGGTCTTGCAGCATCCTTTGTCCAAAGCTTGTGCATTGTGTTCCAGGCGTCAGCCATGGGACCCCAGGTCTCCAACCATGTCCAGTTCTCTGCAGACACAGGATGTATGTGCCAGGCCAAGCCATCTGAGCTGCTGCCGGAAGGGCAGTACAGATCCAACATTTGAAAATATTGATCACCTCAGCACAGGTGTGGGCCCAGTTCACAATGCAGTTGGAGCATGTGAATCCAAAGGGCTTGTGCCTGCTGAATGGCCTGCTTGGCTGCTAGAAGGTGATTTCAGCTGCATCACCCCAATCTCAGGGAAGAGGGGTGTTGTCACTTCTAAATCTCAGTATCCTGCTGGCTACATCAAGTGTCACACCAAGTGTTGGGTTCTAGCCCAAGCTGAGGACCAAGGGCCGTGGGTGGATGAGTGGCTGGCAGCCGAAAGAACACTGGAAGAATTGTAGGGAGTTTCAATATGGATTTATATTCTCTCTGGGCGCAAGCCTCGGTGAGTGTGGTATGTACAGGGTCAGCAGGGTAGTTATACCTTTTACAGACGATAGTGGCTCCAAGCCAGGCACTAGCTCACGTGAGTGATCACCTAATACACCTCATGTGGCACAGTTGCATAATGTATGGAGTTGTGGGCCTGTGCTCTAACCAGGCTGAGTCATGCTACACTGGATGGCTGCCTCAGCCTCCTCCTGACTAAAGCATAGCCATTTCCCTTATGCCACTTTACTCCTTTTCTTTAAGAAGATTCAAGAAAGTTTCAGTTCTATTTGGGCCCCAGGGAAGCCCCTGTTATCTCTAGGGCTGCTGGACTTGGCCTGAAACAGTTGTGTTTTCCCCCTTACAATCTTTAATGAAGATGGTTTGTTGTCATTTTCCATTTGAGTGGAGTAAATTATCCCCAAACTGAAAAGAGCATATTGTATGCTTGACAGCTGTAAATGTGTGCTGACATAATTTATTGAGAGCCCGGGGAGAAAAAGCAGACCTTTAGGCCTCAATGCTCACTGGCTCCCTGTCAGGGGATAAACTCTTGTTGTTTGAAATCTCTGATTAATAACATAAATTTGCTGAACCTGTGCTTCTCAGATGTATTACTTATTATTATTGATTAGTGGTTCTCATCTGACAACTCTGGGAAGATGGTTCTAACTGTGGTACCCCTACATTTTAAAGTTCTATAAACTAAGCCAGTATTACATGGAGCAGTGTAGCTACCTATATAAACATCCCTTCCCCTATGTGGGATATACCAACTTCTTTCTCAGTCACTTCAGACTGGCATGTCTTATTATCTACTTGTTAACTCCCTAATGAGTAATAAATTTTGACATGCTCTTAAAAATCTGTATGTCTGAGAAATTTTATCCTAATATATTAATTCACTTATTGAATAAATATTTTCCTCATCAGCTAGTTCCCTGCTAAAAACTGGTCAATGACTAGCTACAAGATGAAGTCCAAACCACTAACCTGGATATTCTGGGGCCTTCATTGTCTGGCCTCTGCCCATCTTTCAGTCCCATTGTCTGTCCGCCCCAGGTACAAGGACCACTGCAGATTAGCTGAACCACTTATAGTTCCTGGTCATTCTTGCCCTTGATTTTTTTTTTTTTTTTTTTTTTTTTTAGGGGGATGAGACAAGGCATAATGTGAGTTTAAAAAACTCAACTAAGTTTTAAGCATATATTTTCTAGTACTTAAGGCAGTGGCTTCTTTTCCTTTTTTGTCAGCTGCTATTCATAATTGCACACTAAGAAGTTTTCAGGTTTGCCTCCCAAAGTTTCTCTCACTCTGGGGTCCAAAGATGTTTCCTTAATTTTCAGGTTTGAAACATTTTTTCTAAAAGATCAATAAATATGCCTTCTTCTTTGGTCTGGATCAAATGCTTTGGTGGCCTTCTCAAGGACCTTGTTTTCTGCACCTCTTTCTTACTGATGAGCTGGAATTTGTGGGAAGTTTTATGGCCGACTTATGAATTTGAGATTTCTGCTGCTTCAGTTACTAGTAGACTTAACTATTTGAGGCCTGTTCATTCCCTTCACCCCTACCAGTCACAGGTTCTTGTTCAGTCACTGTGGACCCCCTGTTTTCCTGACAGGGTTGACTGGAAGATGGGGGTGGGCAGGTATAAGATGAATCATAGCCCCAAGGAGTCTGCATCTTCAGCTTCCCAGAGGCTGTTTTTGAATTCACCACTGAGCAATGGCCATCGTCTGTTGCTAGTGCTACGGCTTGAGTCTGTTAACTCTGACTAGAAGATACTGATGTTGCTATGGATTTATTAGTAACTTGACACTGTAGTGTAAACACACTGTAGTGTAAATGGAGGGTTCTTTGGGACTTAGTGGTTCACAGACTCCTACTTCCCGCTTGGCCTAGTTCTATATCTAAAAAAGTTGTTGAGTAAGCCCTTTGCCTTTTTTTAAAAAACCATTTTCCCTTTCCAATATTTGCAGCTTTTAGTCTGTGATGATCTATTTATCTTAGAGCACACACTGGGTTTTATCATGGTTCCAACTTAGGTTTGATGACATATATAATGAATTTGCTTTTTAGAGTCAAACCTTTTTTTTCCCTCCTTTTTCTTTCATGGAGTTTAATTCTTAAATGTTTTTGCTTTGTTCTAAGGAAAGAAAGAAAGATGATAGAGTTTTCACCATAAGTTTATGGCCAGGGTGGTGGTGGGTTCTTCCAAACAGCGCTCTGCCTCGGCTTTCCCATGGGATGGTAGTTAAGTTCTGATGTTAACATCAGAAACACCTAGCTCTGCCATTTACTTGTGTGACCTTGGGAACATTACCTAACTTTCTGAAGCCTGGCATTCTTTTATACCTACTTTATAAGCTTATAATAAGGATTAAATAGTACATGGCCCAGGTGTGGTGGCTGACACCTGTAATCCCGGTGCTTTGATAGGCCAAGGGAGTAGAATAGCTTGAGTTCAGGAGTTAAAGAGCAGCCTGGGTGACAAAGCAAGACCTCATCTCTACAAAAATTTAAAAACTGGCTAGGTGTGTTGGTGTGCACTTGTAGTCCTAGCTACTTGGGAGGCTGAGGCAAGAGGGTTGCTTAGGTCCAGGAGTCTGAGGCTGCAGTGGGCCATGATCATGCCGCTATACTCTAGCCTAGGTGACAGAGTAAGACCTCATTTCTAAAAAAAAAAAAAAAAAAAAAAAAAAATATATATATATATATATATATGTTTTTAGTCCAATGCCTGGCATATAATAAGTGCTCAATAAATGGTGTTTACTATTAGCATTACTATCTTTAGTAGAGATTGACATTAGAGGTGGGATGATGACTCTTCCTTGAGATTCTCCTATAGATTGTTGAAGACCTTCAATTGGGTTTCTACCAAAGGTTGGGAATGAATATCTTAGGGCTGTTATGTCTCTAATTTTTTTTCTTTATCTGCTTTTCAAAGGTTTTAATTTTTCATCCTCTGGAAGAGAAGATGTAGATGTGAGAACATTAGGAAATGGTAAGACGGCAACAGCATCACCTGATGAGAACTAACTTTCTGATTATCATACTTTATAGACAGCAGGCTTAGCATAGTCACTCAGTGAAAACCAAAGTGAGCAAGGCCCAGAGCTTCTCCAAGGGAGGAAGCTTTGTGGATTATAGAGATCCCTTTATGAATTATATGAAATACACCTTAACAGGAATCATTTCTTCGGAGGCCATCCTGATTGCATACCTGTAGTTATAAGGGACTTATATGTACATTAACAAAAAGGTGCTTGCTTTTTTTTTTCAAAAGTTTATTAATTGTTTCATTTAATAACATTTCAGGAGGACCAGTACAGTTTTCAAAATGTACATCTCTATTTGAAAAGTGATTCTGCTGTCTTAACCTTCATGTCTCTCATTTTACCCTATTATATTACCAGAAAGAGGATGACATTTAATCCTGAACTATCTGAGATTTATAGTTCCTTCCTCTCATGGAACCAAAGCTTTTCCCTTTTACTAGTGGATCACTAAATGGATTTCAACAGGGCATTCCTGCATGTGACAACTTTGCATTAGTGTAACCAAGTTAATTAGTGGTTATCCGAACTGCATTTTGTAATTAACACAGGCTTGTTCATGGACCTTTGGGAAAGCAGTCATTCTCACATACTGCCTGTGCTGGGGTCTAGTAGCCCCTCTGCCCCAACAAAAAGCCCGTTGATTCTTCTCACACATTCTTCCCTCCCTCAGATGTAGTCATGTCACTAAACTTTCAGTCTTCTAGAGCTCAATCCATTTTCACACCTCCTAACCCTCTTGCATTAGCCCAAATGTTAACTCCATCAACACGTTTCTGTTTCATGACGGGGTGTGTGCTGCCAGGAAGGCCCTTTGCAATTGAGCTGGTGAATCCTCATAGAGTACATTTCACTTCACAAGAAATTAAGGAACTTCAGCAGGTAAACCACTTCATGACATGGAAATCGTCATGTTTCTGCAACTCTGTAACTGAGCTAGACTTGCTAATTGTTTTTCTTTTTCTGCTACTACAGAAAATTAATAACTCATCTAACAAAATCCAAGTACGTGACTTGCAGCTTGTCACAAGGTAAGTGTAGGCTCACTGGAGATTATTTCAAAAGAGATATTTCAGTTCCAGGTCATATATCTAGACAAGGGAATTGTACCCAGAATGTATAAAGAACTCTTAACAACCCAATTAAAAATGGGGAAATGATCAAGTAGACATTTCTCCAGGGAGGATATAGGAATAGCCAATTAACACAGGAAAAAATGCTCAACAGCCGGGCGCGGTGGCTCAAGCCTGTAATCCCAGCACTTTGGGAGGCCGAGGCGGGTGGATCACAAGGTCAAGAGATCGAGACCATCCTGGTCAACATGGTGAAACCCTGTCTCTACTGAAAATACAAAAAATTAGCTGGGCATGGTGGCACGTGCCTGTAATCCCAGCTGCTCAGGAGGCTGAGGCAGGAAAATTGCCTGAACCCAGGAGGCGGAGGTTGCAGTGAGCCGAGATCGCACCATTGCACTCCAGCCTGGGTAAAAAAAGCAAAACCCCGCCTCAAAAAAAAAAAAAAAAAAAAAAAAAAAGAAAAAATGCTCAACATTACTAGTCATTGGGGAAATGCAAATCATAACCACTTCTAGATATTGCATATATAAGAGAAATGAAAACATACATCTACACAAAGACTTGTACATGAATATTCATAGTAGCATTATTCACAATAGCAAAGAAGTAGAAACTATCCAAGTGTCTATGAATAAACAAAATGTGATATATCCATACAATGGAATATTATTTGGTAATAAAAAGGAATGAAGTACTGACACATGGGGCAACATGGATGAACCTTGAAAACATTATGAAATGAAAGAAGCCAGACACCAAGCACCGCATACTGTATGATTTCATTATATGAAATGTTCAGAATACGTAAATCTATAGAGATGAAAAGTCAGTTTGGTTGTCTGGGGCTGGAGGAAAATAATAATGGGAAGTGACACTAATGGGTACAAAGTTTCTTTTTCAGGGTGATGAAAGTATTCTAAAACTAGATTGTTAACCATAGCTGCACAACTCTGAAAACATACTAAAAACCATTGAATTGTGCAGTTGAAACTGGGAAATTATATGTAAGTTATATCTCATTGGAACTATTTTTAAAGAAAGGTTAACTTAGGGCAAGACTTGTTTGTATTTTATATATTCGGACAAACTTTTACAAATTGTTTTTGTTTAGAGAGGCAATAGGACATATGAAAGAAGGTGAAGAAGAAAAGACAAAGACCTACAGTGCCTTAATATGGACAAATAAAGTGATACAGAAGAAAGACATTGAATTCCTGAATGACATAAAGGTAGTTTAAATGTGCTTATTCTTTTTATTTCATCTTTCTGTTGGGTATCAAAGACCCCATTGTCTTCTAGTTTATTACTAGCAAGTCACATGGCATGGGCTTTGGGGTCTGCAAGACCTGGATTCTAAGCCTGGCTCTGCCACTGACTAGCTGAAGGACTGTGCAGTTCATCTAACCCGCTGGAGAGGCAGTGTGGCCAGTGGTGAAGAGCCCCACTCTGAAGACAGATTGCCTGGGTGCAAATCCTGGATCTGCATTTCTTAGCTGTGTGACTTTGGACAAGTTACTTAACCTCTTTCTGCTTCACTTTCTTCATCTATAAAATTAGTTAAAATAATTAAATGAGTTTAATTAGATAAAGCACTTAGAACAGTACTTGGCACATAGAAAACACTTGGCAATGCTATTATTATCTTTGGTCATTTGTCAAATATAAAATAGCACTTATCTAATAGAACTGATGGTGAGATTAAGTACATGAATAAAACACATGATAATATATGTAAAGCACATGCATTTTGGCACATGTGAAGTTTTCCTATACCTGAGCATGTCATGGTAGAGTGTCTGCCTATTTGTTTGCATATTTCTTCCCACTTGCCCCAACTTCTTCTTATAAAAATAGTTTACCTTCAAATGCAAGGAATGAGCATACATGGGCACAGAGATACACATAGTTCCCACATTGTTTAAATAGGCAATATTTTACAACAATCTAGATGACCTACTAGAAGGAACTGGTTTAATATTAATGGCTTATCTGTATAATGGGCTACCACTATTCAGCCATTGAAAATTATGTGGTAGATAAATATTTATTCACACAGGAAAATGTTTCTGGTAAGTGCTAAGGGAAAAAAAATAAACAAGGTATAGCATCTATAGAGGATTATATGTTGTGATTTAAGGCAGGGGTTCCCAACCCCCTGGTGGTACCAGTCCATGGCCTGTTAGGAGTCCAGCCACAGAGCAGAAAATGAGTGGCGGGTGAGAGAGCAAAGCTTCATCTCTGTTTACAGCTGCTCCCGTCACTCACATTACCACCTAAGCTTGGTCTCCTGTCAGATCAGCGTGGTGTTAGATTCTTATAAAGGCGCAAACCCTACTGGAAACCACACATGTGAGGGATCTAGGTTGCACGCTTCTTATGAGAATCTGCTGCCTGATGATCTGTGACTGTTTCCCATCACCCCCAGATTGGACCCTCTAGTTATAGGAAAACAAGCTCAGGGCTCCCACTGAATCTACATTATGGTAAGTTGTAAAATTATTTCATTATATATTACAATGTAATAATAATAGAAATAAACTGCACAATAATGTAATGTGCTCAAATCATCCCCAAACCATACCCTCCTCCCCCAGTTCATGGAAAAATTGTCTTCCCAGAACTGGTCCCTGCTGCCAGAACGGTTGGGGACTGCTGATTTATGAACATACAAACACATATATGTATATGTATACACATATAGAGGATTATGTAGAAAACAAATTGTATGTCAAAAGATACTATAAATAGGATTTATATTATCATGAAAAATATGAACACACAACAAATAAAAACAGACAAAGAATATGAACCAGTTAGCTGCAAAAAGAACAAGTGACCAAGAATCATTTGAAAAGGTTCCACCTCCAGATTGATGTAACAATAAGACATCACTTTGTTCCCCTTAGATTAATAATACCTATCAGTGGGTTGGAGTGGAGGAGAGTTCCCAGTAGAAATGTAGTGTTTCACTCTTTTCCAAAAACAACATGGCAATGACTGCAAAAATTTAGAATATACTGATCTGTACTGTAGAAATAAAACTCCAGTGCATAAGAATATGTACACGATGTTTAATGGCTTTAAGTGGCAAAATCAACAACAAAAAAAACTGGAAACAAAATCAATGTCCCTCAATAAGGAAATAGCAGAGTACATCGGGATATCATACAGCTATTAAAAAAAACAAAATCAGCCTGGGCATGGTGGCTTACAGTAATCCCAGCACTTTAGGAGGCTGAAGTGGGTGGATTGCTTGAGGCTAGGAGTTTGAGACCAGCCTGGCCAACGTGGTGAAACCCCATCTCTACTGAAAATACAAAAAATTAGCCAGGCATGGTGGTGCATGCCTGTAGTCCCAGCTACTTGGGAGGATGGGGCATGAGAATCTTTTGAACCCAGGGGTCAGAGGTTGCAGTGAGCTGAGATTGCGCCATTGCACTCCAGCCTGGGGGACAGAATGAGACTCTGTCTCAAAACAAAAGCAAAAATAAAACCCAGCATATGACCCTATTTAATTTATATATTAGTATGTATCTAAAACTGCTGGAAAAAAAGATATATGTCTGTATCTATAACTCATAGGAGTACCTATGACATGAAAAAAAAAGCAAAGTACAGATGAAAAAAAAAGCAAAGTACAGAATAATGTTTATAGTATGAGTATTTTGGTGAAAACATACAAATCAATCACCGGCTTAAAGAAGGTCATTTATAAAATGAGGGGATGGACTAGATCATCTCCAATGTCCTCTGCAGTTTTCAGGTTCTGTGATTCTATAGCTAAGGCCCTTTGGCTTTTGGCTGTACTATGTAAGGTTCTTAGGATGGTAGTTATAACATAGACAGTTATCTTTAAGATTGCAAAATGAATTTCTGAATTTCTCTATGCCTTCACATGGGTTGTATGAGTTATTGAGAATGCTGTGGGAAAAATAAACTCATTAAAAAAATATGTTCTTAGTTCGGGGGTTAAAAAATAGGTTCATAGTTTGGGGGTAGCCATAGAGATAATTCAGAAATAATGCTGAGGACAGGTGCAGTGACTCATGCCTGTAATCCCAACACTTTGGGAAGCCAAGGCAGGAGGACTGCTTGAGCCCAGGAGGTGGAGGCCACTGAGCCATCATTGCGCCATTGCACTCCAGCCTGGGCTGAAAGATGATTTTTATACGTACAGCCTATTTTAACGGTCGATAGCCCAAGTAGACTGATACAACTAGTTAATTTCAAATAATGATTTTAGTCTTCAAATATTCCAGTTGGCATAAAAATTATAAAAACTGACTTACTTCCCCATTCTGAGAAAAAGTCACTTCAAATTTACTACTTATCCCCTCTTTAGGAGCAACTTATTTCTTAAAAATAATTTTAAAAAAAGATTATATTTGTGTGTGTGCGTGTGTGTGTGTGTGTGTGCGCGCGCACGCTTCTGAAAGCTCAGCAGTATGGGAGCAGCAGAGTGCAATGTTAGAATAAATGAAGTGGTTTCCTTTTGTCAAATGAAGACAAACAGACCAAAAAAGACATGAAGCTCATGGTATTTCTGTTGAACTGACTGGCTCATGGTCAAAATACTGGAAGTTAGTCTAAAAGTAAAGGAAGCAGGGGAGAGGAGAACTCCATAGATAGTTGTTAATTTAAAGGCCCACTGTTTCTCTAAAGTGGAAGCCATATCTATAGATTCCTGCACAGTACAGCCTTGTCCTTTATTTATGTGTGTGTGTATATATATATATATATATATATATATATATATATATATATTTTGTGAGAGAGTGTCTCGCTCGTTACCCAGGCTGGAGTGCAATGGCGCGATCTCGGCTCACCGCAACCTCCGCCTCCTGGGTTCAGGCAATTCTCCTGCCTCAGCCTCCCGAGTAGCCGGGACTACAGGCACGCGCCACCATACCCAGCTAATGTTTTGTATTTTTAGTAGAGACGGGGTTTCACATGTTGACCAGGATGGTCTCGATCTCTTGACCTCGTGATCCACCCGCCTCGGCCTCCCAAAGTGCTGGGATTACAGGCGTGAGCCACCGCGCCTGGCCTATGTATTTTTTTAATTGTCTCTTTGACCAGAGAAAAATCAGATTTTATGGAAACAGCTTATCTCATCAGGACAAAGTATTTCTATAACAAAATAAAAGAAGGATGAAAACCACAATTAGGAGGAGCCATTGACTCACCACTCTGATAAAAGCAGTCATACCCTTTCAAATGTGGTCTTTGTCAGAACTTGCTCTGTTTTTCTTAGTGGAGAACTTGATAGAGGAGAGACCAGACCCAGATCTTTCTTGCCTTAGCAGGCTTTCCTGCACTCAAGAACCATGGAAATTAGGAAGAGTTGTTCCAACAAGAAATTGCAGAGGATTCAGTTCTTATGAACCCAAATTTCTGGTTATGCCCAACATTTATTTTTAAAACTTGTAATTAATTGACCTTTTACAGCATTAATGTCTATTTCTTAATTTTTATCTTGTGACATAAAAGAAAATCTCTAACTTGAACAATTCGTGAGAAAAACAAGGCTGTGTCCCTAAAATATCTGAAATGTAAAAAGACATGCAGTCTTTCAGGTATGTGGTTCTCCTCAAAACATGCAAACTCGGCAGGCGCGGTGACTCACGCCTGTAATCCCAGCACTTTGGGATGCTGAGGCTGGCAGATCACCTCAGGTCAGGAGTTGGAGATCAGCCTGGCCAATGTTGTGAAACCACGCCTCTACCAAAAAAAAAAAAAAAAATTTATCCGGGCATGGTGTCGTGTTCCTGTAATCCCAGCTACTTGGGAGGCTGAGGCAGGAGAATTGCTTTAACCCGGGAGGCGGAGGTTGCAGTGAGCCGAGATTGCACCCCTGCACTCAAGCCTGGGTGACAGCGAGACCTTGTTTCAAACAAACGCAAACCGCCATATACCCAAGTGATGCTGATGCTCCCTCTTTTGCAACCAGCCATTTCTCACCCCAGCCTGAAATCCCCACTCTTGGGTCGCTCTGTTGGGTTGGAAAACAAAGGTAAAGGGGCCGGGCGCGGTGGCTCAAGCCTGTAATCCCAGCACTTTGGGAGGCCGAGGCGGGTGGATCACGAGGTCAAGAGATCGAGACCATCCTGGTCAACATGGTGAAACCCCGTCTCTACTAAAAATACAAAAAATTAGCTGGGCATGGTGGCACGTGCCTGTAATCCCAGCTACTCAGGAGGCTGAGGCAGGAGAATTGCCTGGACCCAGGAGACGGAGGTTGCGGTGAGCCGAGATCGCGCCATTGCACTCCAGCCTGGGTAACAAGAGCAAAACTCCGTCTCAAAAAAAGAAAACAAAGGTAAGGGCCTTGTCCTTTAGAGGACCCCGATGGACCTAAAGGGCAGGCCAGAACTCCAGGGCCTTCACCAACTTGTTAAATATGAGAGTAAAAGAGACCTATTTACTTCAAATGGCGAGGTTACTGGGGCCCAGACAGCGAGTAATGATAGACTGGGTTATGAGAAGTCCCACAGAGTTTGAAGCGAGGGGGGTACAATTCATTTTACCATTAGTGTCCACCCCGTGATAGATGGAGTCCTCCAAAAGAAACATCTGTGCTGAGCTTTGGATGGCGAGGGAAGGGCTAAGACAGGCTTCACTGGTGGCAAAGCTCTGACTCTGGGACTGTGTGTCATATTCTCCCCTAGGACTTAAAGATCGACCAGAAAACACCTTTGCGCGTTCTTCACCGAAGGCCCCTGGCAGTGCGAGCTCGCGTCATTCACTCCATGGAGTCGCACTATGTGGATGAGCACCACTTCCGCCTCTATCTGAAAACTCAGGCCGGCACGTATCCTTCCGCCTGCGGCCGCCGTGGAACCGGAACCCTGTTGGAAAAGGCCATGCTGCCCTAGAAAACGGGGTCAGCTTGGTCTGGGAGGAATTCGGGAAAGGATTGTTTGTTTGTTTGTTGGATGTGTTTTTTTCTCCACTAAATTTGTTTTTCAAAATGATTCCAAACCTTGAGGTAGCAGTCCATTCAATGTCAACTTTAAAGTTTGCTTCCTGTAATTACAGTGCCTTACCCAGTGCAGAGCGCACAGTACTCAGAAAATACTTCTGATGGATTCACTTGCTGTCTTGACATTTTTTGCAAGTCACGTATTCATGAGAATATTTGAGTCTTTTCAACATTTCATGTATTTTCCTTAGGTGATTAAACACAGGTGGTAGTTGGGAATAGCACTACTTTACATCATGATCTTTTTCTTTGCCAGTGGTCCAGTACAGCAGGGAATATTCGTTTCTTTACAGGCCTTGGGAAGAAGACAAAAATAAAACGTTTCAGATGTCATATCATTAGTTAGCTCCATTTTCAGACTGCAGAGAGCTTTGACTGTATTACAGAAAGGTTGAGATTCAGAGTTAAAATATCTGTAGTCTAAGGCTGATAATTTGTTCATAATCTAACCTGATGTATGATTTTTGTATCAGAACTGAGTTGCTGATTAAAATATATCAGGGAGCTCCAGTAAGCTTAGCTTTAGTTTACTTTTCAAAGGTCTTCCTAGTTTTTGTTTCTTGGATTTATATTATTCTGTGATCCAATAGCATGAAGTGACAAATACCTTCTAACTGGTATAGAACTAATGATGTACTATTGTGTGTGTGTATATATATATGTACACACACACACAGACACACTATATATATATGGGGAAAAAAGCAAGTTTTAATCACCAAATACCATTCTTCCTATATTGCTGTAACTAGTCTGCCTGTCTTTCCCCACCAGCCTGTGTTCACTTATTTCTCTGCCCCACCTCAGGACCTGGATTTACTCAGCTAAGCCAAGTATAGGTTATCTACTTTTAAAATCTTCTAAATTTTGTAATTTGGATCAAAGGAGGATCAATTTAGACTCCAGTGGACAGATGTTTGTATCTTTGTTGTTTGGAGCATATTTGCGTATTATGGATGGAAATTCAAATCATGTATATATTTTTAAAAATCTTCTTACCTAATTCTGGCCTTTAGTTTTGGTGGGCCAAAGAGAAATGTCTTTTGTAGAATTTGATGTCTTTTCAATCCTATTAAAACATTTTTAGAACCAGCCATGTACATGTACTTAAGGTGTTAATCAAGAAAGACTGTTAGTTAGAGCTTTAGATGCCACATGGTTATATACTAAAGTATATGAATTTTTCACTTACTAAATTTACTTTGTATATACCTTGTATATTCACATTGACAGGTGCACTGAGCTAGCTCATTTGACTTAAACCTTGTCCCTCTAGTTATGAATAAGAACGTCTCTGGACATTTTAACTGGTCATTCTGGGGCTATTTGGTTTTTTCTCCTCATCACTGCTACACAGAGGGAGCATTCTTTAAAGAAAATGAGAGAGCCAGGCGCAGTGGCTCACGCCTGTAATCCCAGCACTTTGGGAGGCCGAGGCGGGTGGATCACGAGGTCAAGAGATTAAGACCATCCTGGTCAACATGGTGAAACCCCGTCTCTACTAAAAATACAAAAAATTAGCTGGGCATGGTGGCACGTGCCTGTAATCCCAGCTGCTCAGGAGGCTGAGGCAGGAGAATTGCCTGAACCCAGGAGGTGGAGGTTGCGGTGAGCCGAGATCGCGCCATTGCACTCCAGCCTGGGTAACAAGAGCAAAACTCCGTCTCAAAAAAAAAAAAAAAAAAAAAGAAAAGAAAATGAGAGAACAAGAATAACGCTTGTTGGGTAGTTATGAGTTTAGCAAAAAAGACATTTACGAGGTAATTATATGTCTTATGTTTGAGTCAAAATATTTGGCAAAGGTAGAGTGAGTAAAACGTTCAGAAAAGAGGATATAATATCAGCATTTTATAATATAGATTTGTCATCATCTGGAAACATTTACTTTTCTATTCAGGTTCCATTATTTTCTACTAAATGCTGGTTTGCAGAAGAGAACATAATGCTGCATTTTTACTGAATGCTGGCCAAAACAAATCTTTTAGATAAGTATTGTCAAAGCTGCAGTATAGTCGTGTGTAAGGAATGTTAATCTTAAAAACAAATTCTAGAATTAGTTATTGATTTCAAAATTTGAAGACCTATGAAAGAAATAAAAAGTTGCCCCTTAAAAAGAGAGAGAGAATTAACTTAGTTCTTTTGCTAACCATGTTAGCAAACTAGACGGTAGGTCTTTTGATAATCCTTCTGAAGAGCCATCATTAAGACTACACTAATAGTCTCATTATTCCTTCCATCCTATTGCTGCTGGGTCATATTACAAGGAAAGCCATCACTGAGGTCACTCTGTGTGTGACTCTGTGGAAACCTACCATCTGGGAGGTGCCAGTTGCCATTATTAAAAAATAGGATTAACAAGATGATAACACAGAAATTGTGGCAAAGTTGTTTTTTAATAAAAGCATTGAGCTACGTTAATTTTTTTTTTTACTAATAGAGACATAAAAAAAAGAGGGAAGAAAATAATTAACAAGCAGCCAACCAATATTTCATTTAAACCTATAAATAGGTGTGATGTGGTACTGATAAGAGTGTATACTTTGTGTATTTAAAGTGGAGAGTTCTATAAACGTTAATTAAGTCTACTTATTCCGGATCTGAGTTCAAGTCCTGGATATCGTTGTTAACTTTCTGTCTCACTGATCTGTCTAATATTGATGTTGAATTCTCCCACTATTATTGTGTGGGAGTCCAAGTCTCTTTATAAGTCTTATATATCTGGGTATTTCTGTATTGGGTGCGTATATATTTAGGATCTTTAGCTCTTCTTGTTACATTGATCCTTTTATTATGTAATATCCTTCTTTGCTTCTTTTGATCTTTGTTGCTTTAAAGTCTATTTTATCAGCAAAAATTGCAACTCCTGCTTTCTATTTATTTATTTCTGCTCTCCATTTCGTTGGTAAATTTTTCTCCATCCCTTTGTTTTGAGTCTTTGTGTATCCTTGCATGTGAGATGGATCTGGATGTAGCGTACCAATGGGTCTTGGCTTTTTTTGCCTGTCTGTGTCTTTGGATTGGGGGATTTAGTCGGTTTAAATTTAGAATTAATAACAATATATGTGAGTTTGATACTGTCATTTAATGTTAGCTGGCTGTTTTGCCCATTAGTTGATGCAAGTTCCTAATTATGTTGATGTTCTTTATTTTTTGGTATTTTTTAGAAAGGCTGATACTGGTTGTTCCTATTTGTAGTGATTCTTTCAGAAGCTCTTGTAAAGCAGGCCTGGTGGTGATGAAATCTGAGTGCTTGCTTGTTCACAAAAGATTTTATTTTTCCTTCGCTTATGAAGCTTAGTTTGGCTGGATGTAAAATTCTGGGTTGAAAGTTCTTTTCTTTAAGGATGTTGAATATTGGCCCCCACTCTCTTCTGTCTTGTAGGGTTTCTGCTGAGAGATCTGCTGTGAGTCTGATAGGCTTCCCTTTATGGGTAACCTGACCTTTCTCTCTGGCTGCCCTCAGTATTTTCTCTTTCATTTCAACCCTGGTGAATCTGGCGATTATGTGCCTTGAGGTTGGTCTTCTTGAGGAATATCTTTGTGGTGTTCTCTGTATAACTTGGAGTTGAATATTGTCCTGCCTTGCTAGGTTGGGAAAGTTTTCCTGAATAATATCCTGAAGCGTATTTTCCAGCTTGGATAGATTCTCTTTGTCACATTCAGGTACACCTATCAAATGTAGATTAGGTCTTTTCACATAGTCCCATATTTCTTGGAGACTTTGCTCGTTCTTTTTTATACTTTTTTCTCTAATCTTGTATTTTTGTTTTATTTCTTTAAGTTGGTCTTCGACCTCTGATATCTTTTCTTCTGCTTGATCAATTCGGCTGCTAAAACTTGTGCATAGTTCTCGAAGTTCTCGTGTTGTGTTTTTCAGCTCCATTAATTCACTTATATTCCTCTCTAAATTGTGTGTTATTGTTAACATTTCATCAAACCTTTTTTCAAAGTTCTTAGTTTCTTTGCATTGGGTTAGAACAAGCTCTTTTAATTCCCAGAAGTTTCTTATCATCCACGTTTTAAAGCCAGCTTCTGCTAATGGAACACAGTCTTTCTCCATCAGGCCTTGTTCCATTGCTGATGAGGAACTGTGATCCCCTGTAGAGGGAGAGGCGTTTTGATTTTGGGTATTCTCAGCCTTTTTAGGCTGGTTTCTTCCCTTCGTTATAGATTTATCCATCTGTGGTCCTTATAATTACCGTCTTTATAGTTGGGTTTCTGAATGGACGTCCAACTTGTTGATTCCTGGCGCTAAAATCTGAGCAACCCCCTGCACCGGCCAAAACAGCGGCTTTAAGATTGATGGTGCTTTTCTGACTCTGCACCGAGAACCACCGCACCAAGGCAGCGGCAAAACCGTCTCACCAGCCTCAAGAGTTGTGCTGGCGAGCTGTCGGCTCCTCCGCTGGGAATCTCCTGGTGCGTGAGCAACAAAAATTGATCTGCAAGTGTGGCATCCTCTTGTTCTTTGCGCTTTCAGTGGGAGCTACAATCCCAAGCTGCTAGTGATCAGCCATCTTGGATCTCTCGAGCTACGGTTAATTTTTAATATCCACATCCACACCTTTAAACTTGGCGATGAGCTATAAAGAAAAAAGAAAGTAATGGTTTTGGTAAGTTTGATGTAAACACATTTCCCAGTTCTGATGTTGGCTGCCAGGCTACTAGGAACCAGCTTGCCAAACGTTAGTTCTTTTTTTTTTTTTTTTTTCTTTTCTTTTTTTTTTTTTGAGACGGAGTTTCGCTCTTGTTACCCAGGCTGGAGTGCAATGGCGCGATCTCGGCTCACCGCAACCTCCGCCTCCTGGGTTCAGGCAATTCTCCTGCCTCAACCTCCTGAGTAGCTGGGATTACAGGCACGCGCCACCATGCCCAGCTAATTTTTTGTAGTTTTAGCAGAGACGGGGTTTCACCATGTTGACCAGGATGGTCTTGATCTCTTGACCTCGTGATCCACCCGCCTCGGCCTCCCAAAGTGCTGGGATTACAGGCTTGAGCCACCGCGCCCGGCCAAACGTTAGTTCTTAAGACACACAAGTCAGAGCTCAGAAGTAACCTCTCTTATATAACATTTCTAGTTTTATTATTATTTTTGCCTGTCAAATCTTACCAGATAGTTGATACAGCATGCCATCTTCATTTTTTCCTTAAACAAACCCCAGCTACATTAAAGAATTTGTACATGGAGACTTTGGGAGAACCAAGCCAAACATTGGGTCCTTGATGAATGTGACTGCAGACATTCTGGAGCTGGATGTTGAGGTAAGCCTTTTATTGTGGAATGCACATTGGCAAATTGAATTCAGCCAAAGTTACGCTCTTTGGCATTAAGCCATTTACTACTACTCACCTCCATAGGTATTTGAGAATGGTGAACATCTCACGGAAACATTGTATTGAAAGGAGGGACTGTCTTCGGAATTTTTTTTTCTAAGTGCGAGGTCTCATTTATGTTACTTGCAAATATATAGCTAATTTACTAACTGTGCTTTACATGTAGTGTCAGATCTATAAATGCTTAAACCAAGCAAGAAAATAAAGTTGTAAGTGTTCTCCATATATCCTTTGGGCTCTAGAGAATTCATTCCCATACCTGTTGTGTTTTACAAAGACTTTAAAGCAGCCTACTCAGGTACATTTATTCACAAGGGTAGAAAGTGAGGTGAGCCTATGGTTATTCATAAAAGGAATTCTATAAGGACCCCTGTGATGTGGTCCAAGTTCTCTGCTCTTATAGTCTGAATTGAAACAAGGTTAAATTCTAAAGTAACTGTAAGAATGGTTCTATGATCCACCCACCCCAGCCTCCTGAAGTGCTGGGATTACAGGTGTGGGCCACCACGTCCGGCCTTTTTTCTTTGAGACAGGGTCTTGCTTTGTCATCCAGGCTGGAGTGCAGTGGTGCAATCACGGCTCACTGCAACCCTGACCTCCTGGGCTCAAGTGATCCTCCTGTCTCAGTCTCCTGAGTAACTGGGACCACAGATGTGAGCCATGATGCCTGGCTTTTTTTTTTTTTTGGTATAGATAGGGTCTCACCGTGTTGCCCAGGCTTGCATTCATCTTTTTTGACCTTAATTCTCAGAACAGTAAGGAGTGTCAGAGACTCACAGGCCAGTGTTTCTCAACCCTGACTGCCCATTGGAGTCACCTGTGGAGATTTGTAAGCACTACAATGTGCCACCCCTACACACACACACAGACACACACACACAATTGTGATCAGTTATGTTTTATTTTCAGCTTGAGAAACCACTCATTAATTTACATTTGGGTGTTTGGTATGTGGCTGTTTTCTGAAACAGAATCAAAATGTCTTCTTGAGATTTGTAAAAGACACGCACAAAAATAGCTATTTAAGCTTTTCTAATAAAAAATTTTTAAAGCCAGTACATGAAGTGACTCATGGATTAATGAAAACATTTTCAGTAAACAATTTCATCTTTTAAACTTTAAATGTCAATAAAAACCACAGATACAATGTGTTATTTTTTTTTAACTTTCTCTTAAAGTAGATCCCCTAGCCTTTGGTAGACCTGGTATGTGTTTATGTGGAGACAAAATAGTCTGCTTACTGTAATTCTGACTCAAAGGTCAAGGTTTCATTCTAGAAGAACAAAATAAAGGTAAGTAGAGGTAGTTGAACTGGATTTTAAAGAAACAGAAATTCGCCGGGCGCGGTGGCTCAAGCCTGTAATCCCAGCACTTTGGGAGGCCGAGGCGGGTGGATCACGAGGTCAAGAGATCGAGACCATCCTGGTCAACATGGTGAAACCCCGTCTCTACTAAAAATACAAAAAATTAGCTGGGCATGGTGGCGCGTGCCTGTAATCCCAGCTACTCAGGAGGCTGAGACAGGAGAATTGCCTGAACCCAGGAGGCGGAGGTTGCGGTGAGCCGAGATCGCGCCATTGCACTCCAGCCTGGGTAACAAGAGCGAAACTCCGTCTCAAAAAAAAAAAAAAAAAAAAAAAAAAAAGAAACAGAAATTCTACAGAAATAAAGCACAAAGATCTTTAATCCTTTTCTAGTTCCAGGTCATCTTTCATAATCATTTATTTCACATTTATTTGCCATGTTACAAACAAGACTATATAGGCTTATAGACTACTTAAGTGTTTGTTAAATGCAAGATGAGAGAATGAAAATGAGCAGAAGAATAAAAGTTTCTAAGACTTTTGAGGGAAAATTGGTGTAGCCACTTGCATTTGTTTGCTGCTTGTACCCATAAATACGCCCCCAGCTTTTTTTTGAGATGGAGTCTCAGGAGTGCAGTGGTGCCATCTTGGCCTATTGCAACCTGTGCCTCCTGGGTTCAAGCTATTCTCCTGCCTCAGCCTCCTGAGCAGCTGGGACTACAGGCGTGTGCCACCATGCTCGGCTAAATTTTATATTTTTAGTGGAAACGGGGTTTTACCATGTTGGCAAGGCTGGTTCAAACTCCTGACCTTGAGTGATCTGCCCACCTCAGCCTCCCAAAGTGCTGGGATTAAAGGTATGAGCCACCAAACGTGGCCCCATAAATACCATTTAAAAAATTTAAATGTATTCTCTTATCAGTCAAAAAGTTAATAACCAACTGAGTAGCCAAATACTGGCTACTCAATTAATTCAGAAGACCTCAGGCCCAAGAATCCCTAGAACAGACTTGAGAGTGTTAATTTATGGTATTCAATAGCTTTTTTCTTCAAATGCTACTTCTTTGGTTGCATTATATGAAAACTATTTATACAGCATTACCAGCAAATGTTTACCGCAACAGTAATATCTGTTTTAATGACTTCTTTTTTCCCTTCTAGTCTGTAGATGTTGACTGGCCACCTGCTCTGGATGACTAACTTTCAAATTTGGAGACAAGGAGTAGGGTTTTCCTGGCATGATGTGGACATCCATGGAGCACACGCCATAAAATGGCTGTTACCTACCATAACGGTGTCTTGGAAACCATTTGGATCATGTTGATCTATATATTTTTTAATTTGTTGTAACATCTCAGGATCTAAATATGTGTATATTTTGTGTTAAATTGTTCCAAGGATGTCTTAGGATTTTTCTCATTCCCTCTCTCACCCCCACAAACCAAACTATAAATAATGAAATAATTCTCCTTAATTCTTTCATTTAGAGAGGTACGCAAACAGGACACATTCTCTGTTAACCTAAGAAGCTGTAATTTCAGAAAGATTTCCCTCCACAAGAGACATACCACCTTTAAAATCATGTCCTATTTTTTAAAAATTATCTGAATAAAAGTTATATCTAGATTTATACAGCATAATATCCTATAATATTCTAAGATAGCAAATGCAAATCTGACATTATTATTTTTCCCTGGAAACCTCAAACAAGCTATTACCAATGAAGTACTTTTGGCTGTGATTTGTCACAAATCTTAATGACCTCAACAGTTACTCTTTTGACAATCTGAAATTGTCACTACATTTTTCCTGTGGTGGGAAAGGGAAACCGTAGGAACAGGCATGCCATGGTAGGAGCATTTCATAAATCTTTTAAATAAGGAGAAACAAGTGCCTTGAATAACGCCAATCCCAGGGCAAAGAATTTGAAAAATTGAGAGTGCTAGACAAAGAAAAACTGATATTATTTCAGAATGCTTCAATATATTATCCAATTATAAACATTTTAATAATACTTTATTAAAGTAGATAGGATATCGTCTCCATTTTATAAGTATGGAAACCAAAGACTAGAAGTTAAATGACTTGTCCAAAATTGTTAACTACTTCCATATCTAGGACTAGAACGGAAGTTTCTTGGTCTCTAGGGTCTTTTTTTTTAAAATAGAGTTTTGCTCTTGTTGCCCAGGCTGTAGTGTAATGACACGATCTTGGCTCACTGCAACCTCCGTCTCCCGGTTCAAGTGATTCTCCTGCCTCAGCCTCCGAATAGCTGGGATTACAAACATGCGCCACCATGCCTGGCTAATTTTGTATTTTTTAGTAGAGACAGGGTTTCTCTATGTTGGTCAGGCTGGTCTCGAACTCTCAACCTCAGGTGATCTGCCCGCCTCGACCTCCCAAAGTGCTGGTGTTACAGGTGTGAGCCACCGTGCCCAACCTGGTCTCTAGTGTCTTTCTAATAAGCCCTATCATTGAGCACCTGTTTGTGTAAAGGGGGCAGCTATGAATGCCAATTAAATCCATGTAATAATGAGAATTGACTTTTGGAATGTAGATACCAAATCAAAGAGCTTACCAAAAAATAGCTCAAGACTATTTTGCACAATCTTATATAGTTACCATTTGTTATTGAGTTAAACCTCAGTTGGTATTATGAAGAGGAAAAACATTAAATAAACTAAACCTAAAGAAAACGAATGGGTCATTAAGTTTCAGAAAGGAGCCTCATTACAATTTCAGATTTGAGTATAATTTCATCACCCTAATTCAACTATTTGAGCTTTTTTTAAGAATACATGAGACTTGACTAATATTAGATTACTCACTATTTCCCGTCTCTATATTAAACATAAATCACAGATATCAAGATCCACTTTAGATATGAGGAAAATGGTTTTAATGGACACAAACGAGTCAGCCTACCACGTTGAAACCATGTGTTTGATATGCAAATAACAGCAAATAATTTTTTCACTATTTTCAATGCCAGAAAATGAGAAAAGGATAACAAATAAACTTTTGATAAAAAGGTAAGAATTTCTGTATGGATGTTTCTGTTTCTGGGAAAAGTTTGCTACAAAGAGATTTACATAATTTAGGAGGCAGTCTTTTGTTTGGTATTTTTGGCTTAGCTTTGAATCCAGTGGACCTGCAATATGTAAGAATCAAGAACGTTCTTAGCAAAGTGAAATGAGAAGACTTCTATTTCTTAAATTTCTATTCCTGAGATTATACAAAATTTCAAGCAAAGAGTAAGCATTAGTTGTAAATACTTCTTCCAAATGTTTATAGAATTTTGAGACTATGATTGTTAAAAATTAATGTATGTCTTTGTTTTAGGCAGAACTGGGAATATTAAGTAGTGAGAATACTATAGTTTCCCTTTTACCTATATAAAAGGAATTTAAAATTAGTTATATATATATATATTTTAGTTATATATATATATGTATATATATATATATATTTTTAATTGCACTTTAGGTTCTGGGGTTAAAATTAGTTTTATGATTTCTTTGTAAGCTTTATTTAAATTTGAAGTATTTTTCATAACACTTAGAGAAAAAGCCTTTTGTACTTCTTAGTATCTCTTTGTCCCAAATATAGTCTGTGGTTTATTTTAGGAAAAACATCAACTCTGAATACCTGGAAAAGTCAAGAGAAAACAAAGTCGGTAAAATGAAAAATTTCCAAGTAAGATAACTGCTTACATTTGCAAGTTATGTGAAGTAAATTTAGAAGTTAAATTTCCATTTTGTAAGAGAAAAACATCTTACTTAGCAGATCTTTTCTCTTGGAGCTATTCTTTTATTTTTAAGTCTACATAAGAGAATGAACTTTGAAATCAGTTTTCCTGAGCTTTTAAAAGGTGACCCTTGTTTATTATGAAAAATAATACTTTTATGATTCTATTTTGATTTTTTAAATTTTGAAATAATTCCAAACTTACAGGAAAGGTTGCAAGAAAAGTACAAAGAACCTTTTTCCCTGAACCATGGGGCCAGTGGTGCCTCATGATCTTAAAGGCTTCAGTGTGTAATTTCTGGCATTCTTTTACTTAACCACAACACAGTCATCAAAATCAGGGAATTAACACTGAGATATTAACCATCTAACCCACAGACCCTGTTCCAGTTGCCAGTTGTCCCAGCAATGTCCTTCATAGTCAAGTGCTCACATTGCTCTTAGTTACATCTCTTTAGTCTCCACCACTCTTAAAAGTTTGTTTTTCCTTGACTTTAATTACTTTAACATTTTTGAAGATTTCAGGTCAGTTTTTTTGTAGACTGTTCCTCAATTTGGGTTTGCCTGATGTTTCCTTTTTATTAGATTCGGATTGTACCTTTTTGGCAAGAACACCACAAAAGAGAGATTGTCTTCTTCTTGCATCTTATCAGGTGTCACACAGTTTTGATTTGTCCAGTTGCTGGTTGGGGCTTTGATCAATTGATTAGGGTATTATCCACCTAGGCTTCTCCACCTTTATAGTTATTCTTTTTTCCCTTTGCAATTAATAAGTTTCTTGTAGAGAGATCATACAACTTTCACTCACTAGTTTTAGCATCCATTGAATATTTTCAGCTGAATCAATCAGTACCAAATGATTGCCAAATAGAGATTTTCTAACTCCATCATTCCTTTTACATTTTTTGGTTGGCATTCCCCTAAAACATAGAGCTTTCCCTTCTCTCCAATTTATTCATTGATTTATATCATGTGGACTTGTGGCTTATTTTATTTGATGAGTTGTAATTTGTTGATTTGGCCAGTAAGAGCCCCTTCAAGCTAGCTCCTCTGTTCTTTTGACATGTCCCCATCATTCTTTGAGCATGTTCTGACTTTCTAAACAAAAGGACATTCCCTGCTCATCTTTGTGTTTCCTCTGCACTAACCCTGGAATGGGTTTTTTCTGTAAGATCTCATCTCTTTTAGCAGAAAATTGTATTTAGAAACCAAGATCTGGGCAGTAGGTGTGCTGATAGTTTTGTGCCATTGTTGCTTCCAAGCCCTCTCATGGAACAGAGCTAGGGAATAAACACAAATGCATACATGCACACACACACACACACACACACCCAATACACATACACACAAACCTATACATTTCTGTATCTACAGATACTGAAAGCTATAGGAATTTATACCAGTACTTCCAATTCCAACTTTATCCTAGTTTTCACCCTTCCTAAATTTGTAATTCTTTTCTCTGACTATAAGAAATCTGGCTCCTGCTCTTTCCCTGCCACCACCGAGTGTGCAGAGGTGGTCTCAGGTGTATTCAAGATTCGGCTTCACCTGTAACCCACAGCCTTGACCGAGGAAGGCATTGCTGCTGGAGGTGTAATGGATGTTAATACTACTTTACAGGAGGTGCTGAAGACCGCCCTCATCCACAATGGCTTAGTATGTGGAATTTGCGAAGCTGCCAAAGCCTTAGAAAAGTGCCAAGCCCATCTTTGTGTATTGTGTGTGCTTGCATCCAACTGTGATGAGCCTATGTATTTCAAATTGGTGGAGCCCGTTTGTGCTGAACACCAAATCAACCTCATTAAGGTTGATGAAAAGAAACTAGGGAATGGACAGGCCTCTGTAAAACTGACAGAGAGGAGAAACTGTAAAGTGGCTGGTTGCAGTTGTGTAGTAGTTAGGGACTATGGCAAGGGGTGTCATCAAAGAGTACTTCAAATGCAAGAAATGAACAAATAAATCTTGGGCACACACACGCACACAAAGAGAGAAAGAAAAAAGAAACCTGGCTCCTATTAGCCTCAGTCCTCCTCAAAAATAACCAGTCAATCGCTGCCTCATTATTCACAGTCCCCTCACGGCTGCCCTTGGATGTTCTCCTCAGCTCCACATGGCCACTACCACTGCCCCCTGTGGTAACATCTTCTTGCATTTTGCACAGAACAAGCAAATGGCTTTTGTCCTGAATTACTCAGGAAGGGAGGGAGACAGGTGGGAAAGAAGTCAGGAAGGCAGAAAACAATCTTTTGATGCCACAGAAATACAAAGGATCATAAGAGACTATTAGGAAGAATTATTATGCGAACAAATTGGATTACCTAGAAGTGGATAAATTTCCAGATGCATACAACATGCCAAAAACAAATCATAAAGAAATGGAAAATCTAAACAGACTAATAATAAATAAGGGTCACCATTACTCTGAGGAGAGGCCAGTAGGTAGAGAAATCGAAGTTAGAGAGGACTGGGAGGTGCTCTGTTGGGTTTGAAACTGAGGGTGCAAAAATGCACAGCGATAAAATTTTTAACTTGGAGCATAATCATACTCCTGGGAAATACTATCAGCATCACCACCACCAACAGCAACAGCCATCACTGCTGCCGAAACCTGCATGGGAAGTAGGCCAGCAGCCAAAATGAAGCTGTGACTATCGACCTGAAGCATTTCAGGAAGCCAGAAAGAAGCCTGTCACCTAACGAAGCCATTTCTTTGTGGGTAGTGTTCCTTCTGACATCACTGAGGAGGAAATGAGGAAATGATGTGAAAAATATGGGAAGGCAATTTCACAGAAAGAGGATTTAAATAACTAAAAAGGAAAAGTGAAATAATTTAAAGAAGACGAACAAAAGAGAAATATGGGAAGGCAGGTGAGGTC